GCCTAGGGCTTCCTGTAGTCAGCCGCTGATCAGTTTCAGCAGCGGCTGAATCTGGAGCCAGTTCCGACTTACATACAAATTCAACTTAAGAACAAACCTATAGTCCCTATCTTGTACGTAACCCGGGGACTGCCTGTATACACGAGAGTCAGACTCTTGTGACTATGAGGCTGTGTCAGATTCTAAACCTTGTGAATCTGGGCAAACAACCTCTTTTAGTGAAGTGGTTTGGATCTTCAATGCTTAATAGCCTGAGAACAAATCCTATGCCACTAATCATGCACACAGAATAGGAATTCTGATTGTAGCTTTCCTCTGAGATATGGCAATAGCAGGTGCAATTTGACTGACCCTCCTCCTATAGGGTTTGGGGGGGGGGGAAGCATTCTTAACTCAGATTAGCTAACTTGATTTAACCTGGGTTAAAAACCAAGAGTGAAGACATGGCAACTTGTCTAACGGCTTGAGTTAAGACTTATAGGGAGCGTGCGGTGGGATGCTCGACACTATCCCAAGTTGAAATGTCATGCCTCCACTGCTGGTTATCTAACCTAAATTAAGAACACACCTTTTTACAGTGTAGCTGCACTTTTGGTCTCCACATAGGGCAAAGCAGCTATTGCCTTAAAACGCTTATAATGAGAAGTATAGGCTGTGGAAGTATTAGCTGTGCAGTATAGACATGCCCTATTTTGAAATAAGTTATTCCGGAACAGTTATTCCAAAATAGCTATTTTGAAAAAAGATGTGAGAATACACTCCACTGCTGCTATTTCGAAATAGCAGCAGTGGAGTGTATTCTCACATCTTTTTTCAAAATAGCTATTTTGAAAAAAGATGTGAGAATACACTCCACTGCTGCTATTTCGAAATAGCAGCAGTGGAGTGTATTCTCACATCTTTTTTCAAAATAGCTATTTTGGAATAGGCATTATTCCTCGTGGAATGAGGTTTACAGATTTTGGAATAAGCTGTCCGTTATTTCAAAATAATTTTGAAATAACAATGGTTATGTAGATGCTCAAATTGTTTCAAAATAACGCTCGTTATCTTGAAATAACGGTGCAGTGTAGACGTACCTTTAATGACCAGCAGCATTACAAGTATCACTTTCCTTGAAAAGCCCTTAAGGAAGAGAGACTGTAGACTTAAAACTGGGTACACAAATCTACATCTAAGTAGGCAGGGTTCTTTCTTCCAAGTATTGTTTAGGCTGAATCTTCTTAAGAGATTAATTTAAAAAAAAACCCCAAAACTCCCTTTGTCAAATATAACTGTCATAAATTGCTGATGGTACAAAGTTGTATGCAACAAATAAGTGTTCAGTGATCTTTTCTAATACAACTTCCAATTAGACACTGCTGTCCTGAACCTGTTATGTAATGTTACTGTATACCATTAAACAGCTACCACGTTGCACTCTCTAAATCCGTAGTTCCTCTAATTGCAATATTCCCCCACTACCCAAAAAGATGATTCTAACAATTGGTTCCTATTTGGTTTTGTTCCTCCCCTCCCCCAACACAAACTTCTCTTAACTGCTTCCTGCTCCTTATCAGTATTCTGTTTCTTCCTCCTCCCCTGAATTGCCTAGCACATAGTACAGACGGGATGCCGCTCCGAGGCCATTGATCCGTTGTGGGGCACGTACTCTGGTGTCTCTGTGTTTCAAGGGTGTAGAGGTGCTGCTGGGAGGTGCTTTTTGCCTATATGGTGCAAGCCCCGTGGCCCTTGCGGTTTGGCGCAGAGATTCTTGTGCTGCTGAATGTGAGGGTGGATCCTCTACCCATCATGTTCCGATCCAAGGCTGAGCAAAAGTTCTGGATGGAATCCTCATCCATACCCCACTGTTGCTCCTCACTGCTGGGGAATCTTTGGGGCCTCACTTAAGGAAGCATTGCTTCTCCTCTCCTCAGCCCTTGAGGCTAAGTGGGATGGATTCCCTTGGGCCGTGATGGAGTGAAATCTCCACTGCTGTTCCCATCCATGGTGAGGAAGTGGAAGTATTGGATAACTTTGTTAGCTCTTTCGGACAGATGCTATTTCTTTGTTGTGTCTGGTGCCTAGCCCGGTGGTCCATGGCTTGGGCACCGAGCTCTACAGTAATACAAATAGACTGTGGGCGAGGGGTCTTCAGTTGCATTCATGAGCGCCGCTCCCATCACATAAGGCCACTTCATAGCAATATTAAATGTGTCCCCTTTGCCTCACTCGAATTCCAGGTTCCTGATCTTCTTTGATGATGGCTATGCGTCTTATGTCACCCAGTCGGAGCTGTACCCCATCTGCAGGCCACGTGAGTTATCGGTTTGCATGCTCCTATGCTTTGCTAGGCCTCTAGCTGTGTTCTGACCTGGCATTGGAATGAAACCAGCAATGGGCAATGTAGGTCAGTGAATGGGCCACAGGAGCGACTCTCCATCTCAGTGGGCTGCAGGATTGTCATAACCAAGACCCTCTCTCAGGAGAGGGCTGCGCTTGTGTACCTGGAATCTGCAGGGTCTGCTGATCGAACTGTAGCCGCGCTTTGATTGGATGCAGAGGGAGCTCACGGCTCTGCACCCAACGCTGACTGCGAATCAGCCTGCACCTTGCTTTATATGTGGGTCGCTTTAGGATACCATTAGAAAAAATTACGCAGCCAGAAACTAGTGGAATCTGGCAACCCTGCATGTGGGCAACAGTAAATAAAATGCCTGGCTGGCCACACACACAACCCCGCTGGGCTGCCGATTGCCCATCACTGCATTAGATAATAATGGTTCCTCCTGGTCTGAAAATCCATGACCCTATTGGAAAAATTTGTAAAGAGAACTGGGATTTCTGACGCTGACTCTGAATGGTTTTGGGGAGTCACTTCATCTTTCTCTGCCTGTAGGCCCTCATCTGTGAAATTGAGATAGCAGCACTTAGCTCTCTTGCATGCCAGGGTTGATTACTTGAACCTTCTTGGAAATGAAAAGTCTGAGGGGTAGCTGTGTTAGTCTGTAACCTTAAACACAAGTAGTACAGTAAACTTCCGATAATCCAGCACTTTTAGGACCCACGGGGTGCCGGATTATCAGATATGCCGGACTGTCGGAAGGGGGGGGCTATGGGGGGTCTGGAGTGGGGTGGGGGAGGCGGCGCTGTGGGACCAACCCGGCAGCACCCCAGCTGCTCTGCCCCAGGCGTCCCCAAGTCAGCCGCTGCTGAAACTGACCAGTGGCTGACTCCGGGAAGCCTGGGGCAGAGCAGTTCCAATTGTCCGGCTGCCTGGATCGGTTCCAGGTGGTGCCAGACTAGCAAGAGTGCCAGACCACTGGGTGCCAGACAACTGGAGTTTTACTGTACTATGGCACCTTGGAGACCAACAGATAAATATCATGAGCTTTTGTGGGAAAAACCCACTTCTTCAGATGAGATGAGCTTGTGTGACGGAGATGAAAATCACTCTGTGATCCCTCCTTGTCTCTTAGATGTTCTTACCTCTTTGTCTCATTTGTTTTATGTAAAATCTATCTAGAATGTCACCAGAGAGGCTGCATAGGTCTGTAAAAGTCTTCTCCCGTTCTTTTTCCCCCTCTCCTAACAGTAAAGAAGACCTGGGAAGATATAGAAGATGTTTCCTGTCGTGATTTCATAGAGGAGTACATCAGTGCCTACCCAAACCGTCCCATGGTGTTGCTCAAGAGCGGCCAGCTTATTAAAACAGAATGGGAAGGGACCTGGTGGAAATCCAGAGTGGAGGAAGTGGATGGCAGTCTGGTCAAAATCCTCTTCCTGGTATGGAAGCATTTCTTACCCCTGGAATGGGGGAAGATTGGGTGTATTTTGCTGAGTTGGGGACTGAGGACTTCACTTTCCCATTGAGTCAGGCGGGACAAAATGAGCTTCCTTGCCACAAAGTGAATTAAAAGGTTATTAATGGTGGTTAGAAATGGGATAGTGGATTAAATGGGCCTTTTTTTTTTTTCTATGGGACAGCGGCCCCCGACCCAAAAAAGGTTCCCCACCCCAAACTAAGGAGTTGGTGACAGAGCTGGAAATAGAAAGTAGGTTTTCTGAGTATCGATCCTGTGCCTTGGTGGCAAGGCCTGCCCTTCCGAATCCTTACTTCAGTGGTTCTTAAACGTTTGCATTGGTGACTCCTTTCGCACAGCAAGCCCCTACGTGTGATCCCCTTTTTAAACACTTAGCGCGATTATAAATAGCTGGGGGCAAAGCAGGGTGTAGTGTGAAAGGCTGCCAGCTCGTGAACTCCCATGCAATGATCTCATGACTCCCAGTGTGAGAATCTCTGCCTTTCTTCCTCTCTTTACCATATGTTCTCGCATGTTGGCCCAGTCCCAGTGTTGCCATCTTCTGCGTTTCCTTTGCGTTCTCCTAACGAGTGCGGACTCCCTCCCTTGCTAGCTGCAGTCAGCTCTCCTTCTCTGTTCTGTATTGCGTGTGCCAACCTCTTCTGCACGCTTTTGATTTGCTTGTCCTGTGGTGTGGTTTGCAGCACACTTAGTGCACTAAAGTTTTGAAATTCTGAGGTTGTCTCCTCCCACAAAGCACAGTCAGCCTGTGGAACTCCTTGCCAGAGGATGTTGTGAAGACCAGGACTTCAACAGGGTTTAAAAAAAGAACTAGATTAATTCCTGGAGGTTAGGTCCATCGATGGCCATTAGCCAGAGTGGGTACGAGTGGTGTCCCTGGCCTCTGTTTGTCAGAAACTGGGAATGGGAGACAGAGGAGGGATCACATGATGATTCTCTGTTCTGTTCACTCCCTCTGGGGCATCTGGCACTGGTCGCTGTTGGCAGATGGACTTTTGGTCCGATCCAGTCTGGCCATTCTTATGTTTTTAACATGTATGTATTTTTCTTATATCTACTTCAAATCTTGATGTCCCCTTAAACACACACTTCTTGCCTTGAATCCCAGTTGCTATGAACGTTACCATATTCTGTCTGCTACAGGATGACAAACGCTGTGAATGGATTTACCGGGGTTCCACACGCCTGGAGCCTATGTTCAGCATGAAAACCTCAACAGCCTCCACTCTGGAAAAGAAACAAGGAGGGCAGATGAGGACTCGTCCTAATGTCGGTATGTCAGTCCCCCAAGTGTCTGTCTCAGGGTACACCCTAAACTGCTTTCTCAGCACTACGGGATTGGCCTGTCATTCAGTAGTTGTAAAGACTTGGCAAGGAAATGAGTTCCATTAAGAGTCCAGTCTGTTGGAGATAATTGACAACTCTGGACTGTCTTGCAGCACTAGAAAATGAGATTCTTGCTGTCTTAACTTTGCTCATGTGGACGTAACCATTCTTGAGTTCTCACATCTGTCAGTAGCTGCAGCGTTGCTATGGGCTAGCTGTTCAGAGCTGTGGTTGTCAGTCTGAAAGTCTTTGCAAAGAATAGATTAGATTGTCTAACACTCTGTTGTTCACAATTTAATTACATGTGTTTCTGAGAGTGGTAACTGGAATCTACCAATAGCGTGTGGTTAATCGGTGCACCAGTCTTTGACTGACATAGCGACTCTCTTCCCCCAGGTGCCGTGAGGAGCAAAGGGCCGGTGGTACAGTACACGCAAGACTTAACAGGAACCAGCTCCCAGTTTAAACCTATCGAACAAATCCAGGCCATATCTCTAGCTGCACAGCCTGCTTCCCCCCCACCTGCTGAAATGGAGTAAGTACCTTTATTGACTCTCCACTGTACCAGATATCGCCTAGTTTTTAGTTGTTACTGGCTCTGTCCATTCCTGTAAGAAGGAGTCTTCTGGTGTGGGTTTCTTCCATCCCTTGGCTTATTTCTCGATTGCACTGTTGTGTTAATTCCAATGCGGGGAGACTGTAGGTAAAGGCTGATGGATGAGGATCTTGGGGCGGGGAGGCTGACACCACAGTACTCACTGAACACGCTGCTTCTCCTAATGCTTCACACTTGATGTATTGCCGAGTTACAAAGTTTGCTGCTTCTCTGAATTACTCCCTCATGTCACGATCCAGGCATTGGCCCCCTGCTGCTTTGCATTCTTCAACTTGGACTGACCGGCTCATGGACCTCACTGACTTACGAGGCACTGAGAATTCAGACTCATGGGTTGGTCTTGATGGTCACGGAGCAGACCTGATCAAGTCACTCTCCAACCAAATCCATCATGCACCTTCCACCACCGGAGGCACGAGTTGGACGCTGTCAGAGGCACATCCTAGTGCCGGAGGAGGACTTGGTGAAGGAGAAGAGCCACATTGCAATGGAGATTGTGGGGTGCAGAATGCAAGATTTCCTGAGCACGTGTGTTGGGACTTCAGGATAAACTTCCTCAGAGAAAAGGAGACTGTCCCTGTTCACTTTTGTCACCACTGCGGATTTCCCATCAGGATTTATGGACGCATGATTCCCTGCCTACATGTCTTCTGCTCGAACTGTGCCACTTTGCATGGGGAAAAGGGGACTAAGATGTGCCCCACCTGTAGCGAACCTGTGCAGCAAGTTGAGCAGTACACACGAGAATCTTTCCAGACGTAACGGCATGCAAGTAACACGGTCTGCTCCACTGCCTGTAACCCTGAACGCCAGTGTAACATGAATTCTTCTGCCCTGAACGTAGCGGCCAATTGGTTAATGCTCTTGTACACCACTCTAATCCTAACGCTTTCCCAAGGCTCGTGAATCTAAGCTGTAGTTTCATTCTTTCACTGTGGTCATGTAAAGGGAGAGTCCTACCTACTCCCACACGGTGTCCCCTCCGCCTTGAGGAATGCCAAACTTGGCGCCTTGTTCTCCACTTCCAGGGCAATGTCCAAACAAGATCTAGACTTTCTTGCTGCCATTAAAGTAACTCAAACTGAGGAGACTACGGGAATGATAGTTGACGAGAAGTCTGTTACACTAAACTGCAAGTTACAGACCCCCTCTAGCTGTCTCATCTGCACTCTTGTGTTAAAGAACAGTCATTGCAGTGTGTGCAAGGCATGCTGGGGTCTTAAATCATATCTATATAATATAATAAATTTTAAGATCCTGTCTTCAAAGCACATAGTCCAAGCTACTTGTATGGAACTAAAGCTGCTGTTCTAAGCCCCTTCATCTGTAGTGTTGCAGACGGCTGCCAAGACAATTGCTTCTAGTATAAACTGAGTCCTCCTTCAAGTATTGCTGCTGTTCGAAGGGATATGGTTGGTTTAAAAATCCTGCTAGTAAAGACATTGAAGGTTATGAGTAAGATGGCAATAGCATCTTTGCCATGGTGTCTTGGGTACTCCTAGTGCCTCGCTCTCTTGTTTTGATTTTTTTCGACTTTCACTTTCGGGGTCTTGTGCAGTGCCGCAGGGTTGGGATTGCAAGTGCTGCACTTATGGTTTTCTTCAAGCCATTTGCCCCGGATTTATGTATTCATAAACATTTCTCTTGGTCCTGGATTTTAGAGCTTGCTTTACCCCTCTTCCCCGCTCCCCTCCCCCCATGCCCTCCTCACCGCCCAATGTTTGACATATAATGGTTGGTTTCCTGGGTGGCGTGGCTTGTCCGTTGAAGTATAATTTGAACTGGAAAACATGTATCATCTCTACAAAGAATGAGACTTAACTGTGCTCTTCTGAGCACCCGGCATCTTCTAGTACAGAAGTTCTGCTTCACTCCGCAGTTTGTCTTCCCTTTTGTAATTGATTTGCAGCTCAGTATAAAAAGGAGACTTGTATTCCCCTTGCTCTTGCTGATACAGTAGGAAGAGCATTACAGCTGGGAAACTTTACTCTCTCGCTGATGCTGAAAACTGCCACAGATACAGATCCTGAAGGCTCTGCTGTATTTCTGCCAGCCCAGGGATCTTCAAATGTCCAGGTTGCTCCTAAAAGCCTGAAATTATTTTAATATCCTCAAAGGTTCGCCCTGTTCCCCAGAAATCCCCTGAATGCCAACAACATTATTAAAATGGAGGTTTTTGTTTTCAACCTGTTTGGTGTATTCTGTTGGGTTGGGTGTATTCTACCAGCACGCAGAAAATCTTTGCCTGAGTTTGTCTCTGACAGGTAGCAGTGGGCTGAGTTCTGCCGGGGGAGGAGGGATCTCCAATTTTCAGAGTGCATTTTAGGTGCCGGCATCTGTTAACCCCATCTGCTCATGTGAGCATGTAGCCTTGAAATCGTGCCCCATTCTTCTTCCTTTGTATAGAAGCCCCGAAAGTCAGCTGGCTCAGTCCAGAAAGCAAGTGGCCAAGAAAAGCACGTCCTTCCGTCCTGGCTCGGTGGGGTCTGGACACTCTTCGCCTGCTTCTCCTGTGCTGAGCGAAACTCCTCCCGTGGGAAAAGCCGCGGTGAACCAGCAGTATCGGTAAGCAAGCGCTCATCTCCTTCGCCTTTCATGTGCAGACTCCCAAGGCTCATGCATATTTTACATGAGAACCCGTGCTGTTTGTACAGGGCTCCTGTGTGCTAGGCACTGGGCATGGACCAGCACGCTCAAGTGCTGTGGCAGTATTAATAATGGAAGGAAGTGTTCTCCAGAGATGCGCCAGGTAGCTCTCAGTATAGAGTTGACAATCTTGTCCATCCTCTACCACCATAGGATCACCCCCCTATTCCCTGTGGCTTTTTGCTCAGGGCAGTCAGGCCCCTCAGGGAAGCCCCACTGTCTTGTGGTGTCGCCAAGGAGGACTTTGTGCCAGATCAAACTGTTAGTGTTGCTTTTCTCCAGGGGAAGGATCCCCCGTGTATCTTACTTGCTGTCTCTCTCTGAGCCGTTCCACGGCATGATGGACCGGGTGCCCAACGAGCCTTCCTACCGGGCCCCAATGGAAAAGCTCTTCTACTTGCCCCATGTCTGCAGCTACACCTGCCTGTCACGGGTCCGCCCCATCCGGAGCGACCAATACCGCAGCAAGAACCCCCTCCTGATCCCGCTTCTCTACGACTTCCGGCGCATGACTGCCCGCCGCCGCATCAACCGCAAGATGGGCTTCCACGTCATCTACAAGACGCCGTGCGGGCTGTGCCTGCGCACCATGCAGGAGATCGAGCGCTACATCTTCGAGACGGACTGTGACTTCCTCTTCCTGGAGATGTTCTGCCTAGACCCCTACGTGCTGGTGGACCGCAAGTTCCAGCCCTACAAGCCCTTCTACTACATCGCGGACATCACCAAAGGCAAGGAGGACGTGCCGCTGTCCTGCGTCAATGAGATCGACACCACCCCTCCTCCGCAGGTGGCTTATAGCAAGGAGCGCATCCCGGGGAAAGGCGTCTACATCAACACCAGCTGGGAGTTCCTTGTGGGCTGCGACTGCAAAGACGGCTGCAGAGACAAGTAGGCAACGCAGTGTGTGGTTCAACCCATCTCTGGGCCACGGGTTGGGGAAGGGCTTTGCACACAGACCTTTCTGTGTGTCCACATGAACAGCCCCGGCTCCGTCGCATGTTCTATCTGGGGAGTGATAAGAAAGCAAATCTACCCAGAGAGACCATTGTGGCCCCAGTTCTAGGGCACTTGACTTCAGGGATGTTAAAACACATCTAATTCAGTAATCGTGTAACTGTTGAAAATTTCAGCGGTTACATGGTTTCACGTGGGGTGGCAGGCGGCTCCCTGGAAGCCAGTGCATGCTGGGAGCTGTCTTTTAAGCCGGCTCCTGGAGCTCATCAGCTGCTGCCTCCATTTCTCCTCCTCTTCCATGCACGGCTGCCTCTATATCAGAGCCAGCAGCACGGGGGAGCAGGTGGGAGCCAGTATATGCGGAGAGTCGACTTATACAGAGGGAGCAGCACGGGGGAGGAGTAGGTGTCTCCCTGGGAACCGGCTTTTAAGCCAGCTCCCCACGTGTACTGGGAGCCTGCGTGTTACCGTGAGCATTAACCGATGAGCCTGGGCTACTCTTTCACACCCCCGCTTGGCTTGAGCTTCCCAGCTGACTGTAGCAACAGGGGGATGCTTTCTTGGAAAAGCGTTACGATAGTTGGGCTGCCGTAAGGCTGAGACCACATCCCTGTTTCTTAGCCAGTTCCCAGGTTTTCTAAAATCCACGTTTACTCCGATTCTCAAAAATTGTTTCCCCTTGTGTGGGTGCAGGGGGTTAGGGGTCGCAGCCAGAGGCCGCTTGAGTGCGGGGTTCCCATATTCCAGCCCACAATAGCATTTTGGTGGTTCTGATTTCTTCGGCAGTCTCAGACTATGGCTCTGATCCTCTCCGCACCGATTTACTTGCCTCAGGATTGCGCTTGGCGCGAGTCCTGCGCCCACTGCTCCCTTGGGGAAGCAATCTTACAGTTGTTTGGGGTAAAAGGCGTCTGTGCCTGTATCTCGGCCAGAGTTTTGAAGGTCACCTGCCATCAGAGTGGAGGGGGCCTCAAAGTGACCCTGTACTGAGAGTCCAGCTGGTGGCAGGAAGTCCCCGTGCCACGTACTTGTGAGCGAGCAAGGGCTTGAAAGGTCTCGCTTCTCTTGTGAACACTGTGCCAAATAAATCTGTGGGTGGGGGTTTTGCGCCTTTAGATCTAAATGTGCCTGCCATCAGCTGACAGTCCAAGCAACAGGCTGCACCCCCGGCGGGCAGATCAACCCCAACGCTGGCTACCAGCACAAGAGGCTGGAGGAATGCCTCCCGACAGGGTGAGTAGCGTGGCATCGGGCTTCCGTTCAGAGAGATTTCTGAGGCCAAGGTGGTCAATCTGCCAAGGGATTGGAGAGCTAGGTATACGTCTCAGACCCCCCTCGTTCTAGTCCTGGCTCCTCCGCTGGGTCCTGTGGTTTGACCAGACGCTTCTGACCCTCATCATTGTAGTCCCCAAGTCCCTCACAGTTTGCCTGTAGTTATTCTCAGCAAAAATCACAACCCCACACATAGGGCACTGCATCTTTCCTAGTGTACAGATGGGGAAACTGAGGCACAGGCTTCATTGACTTTGACCTAGGCATGCAGAAAATCCCTCTGGGAAGTTTCCTTTCATGGGTTGTTGCAAAACGAAATCCGCTATAAAGCACTTGGAGCACCTGTGATGATCAGACTGTCCAAGCCCAAAGCATGACTAAGGCTCCATGACAGATTGGTCCGAGACATGGCAGCTGGGAGGGGTTCAACTTCTGAGGCACTCGACCGCAGCGTGCTGGTTGCTTGAGACCCTGCAGAACTGAGGTGTGGCTGAACACGGAGGCTTTGTCTACACTGCTGGCTTTTGCTGATTAGCATTTTGTCACACTTCATTTGCATTCTCTCTGCTGGCAAAAGCCGGCAGCGTAGACCTAGCCTGAGTGCAGTCAGTGGTAGTTGTGACTGTCACTTTGCTTACTGCTCTACTGGAAGACACCGAAGGACCGTGATGATTAGGAATGTGAATAGTTAACTGATTACCTGGCACGCTGGAGCAGCACCCCACCCTCACCCCATGGCCAGCTCTGTCGGGCCCCATGCGGGATCAGTGACTGGCTCCCAGCCTGGCAATCCTGCTGGAGCAATCCTCCCCCGTTTAATTGCTTAGCTGGTTAAACATAGTGTTGAACTGGTTAACCATTTAAACGGGATTTCGCATCCCTAGTGATGGTGGGCACAGTAGAAGAGTTGACTTGGCGGTCCACTACTATTAAGGCTTATTTTTATAATAAGGGATGGTGTAGACGGAGCTTGGTCCTGCCTTGAAGGCGGGGGGCTGGACTCGATGACCTCTCGAGGTCCCTTCCAGTCCTATTATTCTATGATTCTATAATAATGCTGTCCCTGAATTTTCAATATACTGCTGATTTGATCCTGTTACTAATACCAAAGTATTTATGCATGATTTCATTCTATCACTGTCCAGCTTTATTACATGGCCTGTCAAATCTCTCCTCTCCCTCCCCAAATACATAGTTAGAAATCACTCACTTCATGACAAGCAACTTACTTTGGCCTGGTTTCCCCTCAGTGGCAGGATTGTGTCTGTTCTTCTGTGCACCTCTGCCCCTAAAAACGGTCGGTCCAGTGCCCTTCAGCTGTGCAAACTGGCCTCATGACTTTTCAGTCTCTCTGTAACAAGTGTTACTGACGCTATCTGCCCTCTAGTAACATGGCAAGATTCAAATGCAAATCAGATAAATGGCGAGAATGCATAATGGCTGTTCTAGCCTCAGCTCTGGTGGGTGGGGCGTGTTTTTGAGAGAGAGATCAGTCTGGTCTCTGACACTTGCAGGGATAGCAATCAACTTTCCCTTTCCCAGAGTCTATGAATGTAACAAGAGATGCAAATGCAACATGAACATGTGCACCAATCGCTTGGTACAACATGGACTCCAGGTCAGACTCCAGCTGTTCAAGACTCAGAACAAAGGCTGGGGAATCCGCTGCCTTGATGATATTGCCAAGGGCTCTTTTGTCTGCATTTATGCAGGTACATCTGCCATTCTTTGGTGTTACTGACGATCCTTCTGGAAATCCTTTGGTTAAAATAGGGCACCACTAGCCCAGATCTGCTCCTGCTAAACTGTGCTGCTGTCCCTATCAGTCACATAAATCAAATACTAAACTACTTTTAATAGGCAGCAGGTTTAAAACAAACAAAAGGAAGTTTTTCTTCATGCAGAGCATAGTCAACCTGTGGAACTCCTTGCCAGAGGATGTTGTGAAGACCAGGACTTTAACAGGGCTAAAAAACAACCTAGATAAATTTATTTAAAAAACAACCTAGATAAAAACAACCTAGATAAATCCATCAAGGGCTATTAGGCAAGATGGGTAGGAATGGTGTCCCTAGCCTCTCTTTATCTGAGGCTAGAAATGGTGATAGGGGAGGGATCACTTGATGATTCCGTGTTCTTTTCACTCCCTCTGGAGCATCTGGCACTGGCCACTGTTGGAAGACTAAATACTGGGCTAGATGGACCATTGATCAGACCCAGGATGGCCATTCTTATGTTCTTAACCTTCCTTACACAAAACAAGTATTTATTTAAAATGACATGGTCATCTAGGGTTTGTTTTTCCAAAACTTACAATAGGAACAGAATTGTCACAGACCTTCCTGCATGCCTGTTAAACTTTACTTTCCCAACCTTTTGAAGGCCAGTTATTTCCCTGGAAACAAGGAAGTACAGAATCTGCAGTGACTTCAATGCCAGTGCTGAGAAGTGAAGCACTCCTCAGGCATGAAGGTTTCCTTGCATCCCCAATTCATTAGCTTGGTGCATATGTATCGACCGGCTTCCTGATTGTTTTCACAGTCTAGCACTGGGTTGCCAGTAGCTGAGTGCTTTGGTTTCTTAACCTTGATGCTGCCTCAGTGCTAGGTTATTACACAAACTTGAGTTCTTGGCCCGCATGAGTCCAGATACCATAGGTAGTACAGAGACTGGGCACTGGCTAATCAGTCCCCCCTTTTCCCCAAGCAAAGTGTGGGAGATGCCGAGAACCCCTCTTCCAAGAGTCCCCAGCTGGGTGGGGTTGTCGTGCCGTCATTAAAATGCAGCAATAAAAAACCAGAAAGGGCTAAAACAGGGCCAGGGTCTCCCTGCTGGCTCTACAGTTTGGGGAAGCACAGCAGTGGGACTAATGGGAAATGCGGCCTCGTCCTCTATGGGCTGGACCTCCTGGCTGTACTGTGTATCCCATGATGCACCATAGACTCTCCTCTTGCTCACTTGCATTGTGGGAGATGCAGTCCCTCTGGGGATCCCAGCACATAGAGGAGAATGGGAGCCTGAAGGTCTGGAACTACAACTCCCATGAGGCCCTATGGTGGCATTTCAGAGTTCCTCCTCCCCGCTCCCTTCCCTCCACCCGTTTTCTGGCATCTGGCTTTTCAACAAAAAGTTGTGTTTTTCCATGAAAACCAGACCCTTTCCCACTTAAAAAGGTGGAGTCCAATGCCAATTTTCCATTGAAAAATAGCTTTAGTTGAAAACTCAGCACTGGTCTGAGGCACTGTTCTACTTCCTGCTCCATGATCTACAGGTCAGCTGGGCTCAGCTCAGGTGTGCCTGCTTGTCTTAGCCACAGGCCTGTGGGGGTTGGGTGCTTTTGAATTCTTGAAGGGGTTAAACCCCCTCCTCCAGCTCACGGCCTGCTCGCTTTCCAGGGAAAATCCTCACGGATGACTTTGCCGACAAAGAGGGGCTGGAGATGGGGGACGAGTACTTCGCCAATCTGGATCACATCGAGAGCGTGGAGAACTTCAAGGAGGGCTACGAGAGCGACGCCAAGTGCTCCTCCGACAGCAGCGGCGTGGACCTGAAGGACGAGGACGAGGAGAACACAGGCAGCGAGGAGCAGGAGGAGTCCAACGAGGACAGCTCCGACGACAACTTCTGCAAGGACGAGGATTTCAGCACCAGCTCGGTGGGCCAGAAGGAGAACGGCCTGTCGGAGACGGCCTCCAAGGACTCCGGCCTCACCCGGCAGACCAGCCAGGACGAGGTGGTTGTGACCACGGCCTGCAAGCCGCCCATGTCCGAGGAGACCTCCAAAAACAAAGTGGCCTCCTGGCTGAGCTCCAACAGCATGTCGGACAGCTTCCAGGACAACGACAGCGCCTCCTCGTTCAAGGCCAGCGAGGCCAGCGAGGCCAGGGCAGGCAAAAGCCGAGAGAAGCCCAGTGCGTCTGGGCTGGGGGGCAAGGAGGCCTTTGGCTTGGAGACAGACTCAAAGGCGCAGAGGAAGGAGGTAAGCGAGGCTGTTGGGATGGTGCTGTAAGTTAATGGCCTTCCCCATCCCTGGGAAAGCCGTGGGTGTGGCGCAGAGCTGGGGAAGGCCTGGCCAAGGGTGCTGATCCTGGCAGGGCTGCTGTAGCGTTCGTGGATCCCAGACTGTCCCGCTAGACCAGGGGTCTCCAGCCTGTTGAAGCACAAGATCATTGGTTGAATTTAAGTGCAATCCAGGATCTACCTCAAACGCCAACACCCTGGCCCCGCTCCAAGGCCCTGCCCCTGCTCACTCCGTCCTCCTGCCCTCCCCCATGCTCCCTTCCTTTCACCGGGCAGGGGCAGAGGGCTGGGGCGCAGGCTCTGGTCTTGGGCTAAGGGATTTGGAGTGCGAGGGGGGCTCTGAGCTGAGCCTGGGTCAGGGAGTTGGGGTGCAGGAGGGTACAGGCCCTGTAAGGGCGTTTGGATCCAGGGGGCTCAGAGCTAGAGCAGAGGCTTTCTGTGGGGGACGGGGGGGACGTAACTGGGGCAGGGGATTGGAGCTGGACACTGCTTACCTCAGGCAGCTCCTGGGGGGTGAGGGGGTGGCTAAGGCAGGCTCTCTTCTGCTTTAGCCCTGCACAACTCAAAAGCAACCAGCAAACTCCCTCCATCCCACGGCCCCCCCATTCTGTGGAGATAGAATACAGAGTGGGGGGGGCACCCTGACATCCGCGTTCCTCCTCTCCCTTCCCTGCTCTGGACCCGGGAAGGGGCCGCTCCAAGGCAAAGGGCAGGCGATGTGCAGCAGTACAGGGAAGGGCAGCTGAAGAGCCGCCACTTGGTAGCTTCTTGGCCCAGCTAGTCAGGAACCCGTCAGAGGCGCCAAGATCTACCAGTAGATCCTGACCTGCTGGCTGGTGACGGCTGAGCTAGACTATTCGATTTTGTGCTGCCGCCAGGGTATTGGTCAGGTAGGGACGCGTTCTCCCTGCTGCAGGGATGGGAAACCAGAGGCGCAGAGGGAGCTGGTGACGTGCCAAGCAGAGAGGCTGTGACAGAGCCAGGGGTAGAACCCAGGCGTTAGTCCCAGGCCGAGATCCTCCTTCCTACCCTCGTGCTCACATCCGACCCGCCAGGGGCTTGGCAGCATTCAAGGCCCAAAGCCGTGCTGATCCGGGCCAGTGGACGTCCTGCCCCTGCCACTCAAGTGTAATTCTGACATTTTCCCCTTTGTAGGAACCTGAAGAGCCAAGCAAGCATTCGATGTAAGTGTTGGAACAGTCGAGTGAAACATGGCCGCTTGCCAGAGCGCTCTGGGTGCCTGGTATTGCCCGGTTGCTGTGGGGGATGGGTGGCCTTCCACGTAGTTTAAAGCTATCCTGTGTGGCCAGCCAGTGGGGAATCTCAGAGGAGCTGCCCCGTCAGATACAAGCGCGAGGGAGAAACCAGCTGCGCGTCAGAGGGGGCAGGGAAAACTGCAGCATTACTATGGAGGCTGGTGAACCCGTTAGGTTAGACCGTGGAACAGGACTGGCAGGATTAGCAGGTTAGTTGGGCATGGCCGTCTCCTGCCTGCTCCAGCTGCCGGAAGCCCTTGCGATCGGGGTGCTGCCATTAGGTTCGGAGTAGCCCCAGGGCAGGCGGGGGAAGAGGGCCAGGAAGCGGCCTGGGTGACTTGTTTGTGTTCTTGGCTCCCAGGGCACCCGAGACAGGCAAGGTGTATGGCTACAATCCAAGCCCCATGAAACTGGAGGGGATCCGGAGGCCACCCAGCAAGACGACCGTGCATCAGAGCAGAAGGCTTTTGGCTCCTCCACAACAAGCGACTGATGTGAGAATTGGGCTTTGAGGCTTTGAGATCTTCGCAGACGGGCCTGTGCCGCGTGCGGCTTCCGTTTTGCATTGAGGCTCTCTGTCCCTCCAGTCCTTCGCGCGCGCTGACCTGACTAAGGGCCAGCCCCCGGCCCGTGGGTTATAGTTGCTAGTTCCTTGGGGCTGCGGCTTCCCAGGGTTTGCTCAGGCACATGTGTGGGGTTTGAAGGCTCCGTCTCGCTATGGGAAAGCAGCTGTAATGACTTGGGTATGGTTTAAAGGGCAGAGGGACTGCTGCGGAGACTCTTCCTTGATCTGGGAGCTATCTGAACCCCATGCTAGTGTCAAGAAAGACTTGCCCCAGGCACATGCACAGGGACAGTAGGTATCCTCCTACCTTCCCCTAGATCACTGAGCATCTGCTGGGATCTGATTAGACCCGTCCCATGTGGCTGATCTCCTGTAAATTCCCCACGAGCATGGATTGGCGTTGCTGGATCTTGGTACTCACGCTCTTTCTTATTGTAAGAGATCGTTCACTCCCGGCTGGGCAGGCTACTGTGATCCTTGGCTCTGCGTGTCGTGTATTTCGTACAACGTTGGGCACCGAATTTGGGGTTAGAACACTTCCTGCATCATTAACTCCAAATTGCAGACGTCAAGCAGGCAGCTCGCCAAAGTTCCCCTCTAATTTTTTCCATCCATGTGCAGAAAAGATTTTGTTGTGTGTGAGGCACGTGCGGATGTGCACCACCAGTAGGAACACACGCAGCTGGCTGTGGGCGCGCTGCTAATCAGCTGGGTGGCACTGGACTCTCCTGGGTGGGCGCCCAAACGCTCAGTGTACAGGGAGCCCTGCAGCCAAACCAACCAGGCCTGGCTGCCGTTGTGCTAGTGGATTAAACCAAAGTTAGTGGGCATGAAAGATCTTGTTTCACTCCGCAGGGTGAAGGGTGCAGTCTCCTAGCAGGCTGGTCAAATTCCACCTGGGAGTTACGAACCAGCCTCTCAAAATTTCTCTTGCAGTTTCAACTTTTCCCGTGTAATAAACCATGGACAGTCATGCAGCTTTGTGCTGTCGGCTGTCATGCACCACCACAGAGGGGGCAGCACATGTCAGTGGCTAAAATCCTTGCTGGCCAAAGAGTCTTCAAACCAAAAGGGGCTATAGAAAACGCGTGATTGTCGTTAGGCCTGTGTAGCCGGGTTCCTGGAGTCTGGCTCTGCCTTTTCCATGTGCATTTAAAATGGCTTCCCACGAGTATCGTAAGCTTTAGTGAATAGCTGCCAAAGGGTTTTATAGAAAGACACAATCTTTTAACTTGGCTCCATGGAGAAAGGGAAGTGTTAACACTCATGAAGGGGAAGTCTTCTGGCACTTAAGAAACTAACAAATATATAGAGAATCAAGAGCTTTTGTGGGTTAAGCCCACTTCATCAGATGAGTCGGAGTGGAAATAACAAACCAAGAGTTGTATAAACAGCAAAAACCTGGCTTTAGAACGCGACACACAGTTAATGTCTCTGTTCAAGCCCAGGGTAACCGTGTCAGATTGGTAGACGAATGCTCCCAGCCGCGTTAGCAGCGTTGTGGAGAGGGTAAAAAGGATGCTTTCAGCCTGTATCGCGTCGCGTCTGAGCCACTGTTACATGTGCATGTTTCCAGGATGTGCTGACGCTGTCGAGTAGCACGGACAGCGAGGGGGACAACGGGCAGCCGGCAGCAGGACAAGCGCAGGGCAATGCAAACGACAGTGACGACATCCAGACCATTTCCTCTGGCTCTGAGGAAGAGGATGTTGAGGATAAAAAGAATTCCTCTTCCGGCCTAGGTAGGGGCAGCTGCGGCAGCCGGTGGTGGGATAATGGGATTGGACAGGGAGGAGAAGAGTGGTGAACATGATGAATGTGTCTGGTGCCCTGAGCGGAAGAGCCGTATCTACCTGTTACGAACTGATCCCCGTGCAACTGACTAGGCTAAATTCTAATGAGATTGAGGCGTCAAGTTTCTCAAAAGTGATTAGTTTTGGGTGCCCAACTCAAGACTCTTTTTTTAAGGGACCTGAGTTCAGATGCTGGTGCTCAGCCCCTTCCTGAAAACCAGGCCCTCCTTAAGGTATCTCACAGTGGGCCCCCAAACTAACTAGCCACCATTGACAACTTTAGGCCTCAGATCCTGAAAAAAGAGGATTTTTTGGGGACTCACTGGTACTGAGCAGGGGTCAAAGCTCGTCACCACCGTAAACCTCTCTCAGGATGTGGGAGGAAGTGGGGCCGTGACGATTTCTCTGTTCTGGCAGGCCCTGTCAAAAGGCAAGTGGCAGTGAAATCCACACGAGGGTTTGCCCTCAAATCGACTCACGGGATCGCCATCAAATCGACCAATATGGCATCCGCCGACAAGGGGGAGAACATGCTGGTGCGCAGGAACACCCGTCAGTTCTATGACGGCGAAGAGTCCTGCTACATCATCGACGCCAAACTCGAGGGGAACCTGGGCCGCTACCTGAACGTAAGTTTCCTTTCGCTGGCTCCGTGCGTCCTCCAGAGGCATCCGCTGCGCCGCCTGGGGCTCGGCTTCTGTTCGATTTCAAGCAGACCCTACCCAGGAGCCTCACTGCTCTTGGGTACAGGCCCGCCAGTAGGTGGGGCACAGGGCAACTTCCCTGGGGCCTGGTGATTCAAAGGGGGCGGGGGCTCCTGGCCCTCACTGCTCCTGGGCCCTTTAAATCACTCCCAGATCCTAGGACGGTGCTGAAGGCCTGGCAGGAGCAGGCTAGTCCAAGGCTCTCCCCTTCCAGGAGCAGCATCCCCCTCCCCCCATCCTCCTTGGCCAACTGTATTGCTGGGCCCCTGGACTCCTGTAGGTCCAGGTCTAGCCCCAATGCAAGTGCTGTCCTCTGAACATCAGCCCTGCCCTTGTTGTCACCATCAGATGAGGGCCAGTCGTTGCTGGGTCTGGTGGCTGTAAGTCAACACCCATCCACTCGGGCCAGCTCTGAGTTCGGGGGCGGGGAGGGGGGGGGGTCTGTTACTGAGCTGTCCCAGTGCAGGGGCCTGGACTTGAGCTCTCCAGACTCCTTCCAGCCCTGTGTATTTAGCCACTGTTAACCTGCAGCTTGTCTGCGTTGGATTGGGTTTGTCCCCGGCGCGTGGCTCCGGACTAGCCTAGCGAGGAGGGGAGATGCTGCGTGTGCGCCCGACGTCGCGCATGGGGCGGAGGGGGCAGGGTGGAAACGCAAGCATTGAAGACAGATGCCAAGTGGGGCAGTCTGCAAACCAGGCTCTTTATATCTCACCAGAGGGTTTACCTGCCATTGCTCAGGTCCTTCACTGACATCATTTTTCTTCGTTTGAATCGTTGCTCTGGGGTGGGGCCGGGGCAGAGGGGCTCAGGATGCAGGTTGCCCCGGGGAGAGAGGACAAGCCCAGCTCTGTCACCGCAGCAGCTTGCAGCCAGGTGAGAAGCGCCTCTCCATGGCCGCTGCAGTTGGCACGGCCAGAGGAGGGGGGCATGTTCCCTTGCTGGCCGGCCGACAATGACAAAAACACAAACTCCCTGAAACGTATGGGAGAGTCGTCCCTTTCCCCAGCCCTGCTCCCTGCTGCCCCCCTGTGGTCATTCTACAGTATAACCTTCCCTGCTAGCGGCTTCCTCCCTTTCCTTTTTTTCTGAGAAACAATCCCATTCTGGGCACATCCCAGTGTCCTGGCACAACCCAGCCCCTCGGTTGCTTTGTGATGAGAACAAGCTGAATGCCAGATGCAGTGGTCCCAGCTCTTACCTTGGAGCAATTCTTGAACAAACAGGTGGGCAGGCAGCCCCAAGACGCGCTCAGATAGTAGACAAGACAGAAGGTTCTGTGGAAGCCCCACGTCCTACCTGGAGTAAGGCCAGCGTAGCCCCTATTTCAATGGGCTTCAATCGGATTTCCGGGGCTTAATGAGTAAGATCATTGTTACAAACACTGCAACCCGCAGCCTGCTCATCAGTTCGCCTCTTGTCCCTTCACAGCATAGCTGCAGCCCCAACCTGTTTGTGCAGAACGTCTTTGTGGACACTCACGATCTCCGGTTCCCTTGGGTCGCCTTCTTCGCCAGCAAGTAAGTGACGCCCAGGCCTGCGCGGGGAAGGGCTGCGACCGGCCATGCTCCTGGCTTTCTCGTCCCTGAGGGCTCAGGTGCTTTAAAAGGTCACGGGGAGGCCAAGCCCCTTCAGGCGCGTTGTTAGTGGTTTGCGCCAGGGGGATTCTAACGTGGTCTTGCGACGAGAGCCGGGGTGGGGGAGTCGGGGCTGCTGGGGTCTCTTCCCAGCTCCATCCCTGGCTGCTTACGGGCTTGGGCCGGTGGAGAGACTGTCGAAGACACAGGCCCCCAGCTGCCTTTGGGAGTCCGAGCAAAGCCAGCCCCTTGGGGTCCCAAGTAACTGGCAGCTGCACGTTCTCAGCTCTTCTGGGGAAGGGCGTTAATGAAATGGGGACATTGTCGCTCTCGCGGGCTGACGCGCTTCCTCTCTCCAGAACCGGTGCGGCCTCCGTCCCGGCCGTTTGAGGCAGGAGGGGAGGGGGCTCTTACGGGCTTGGTGCTGATGAGGCCTGAAGCCCGGATTGCTGTCTGTGGTAGAGCTGAGAATTGAAGCCTGGTCTCTTGAGTGCCAGGCTAGGGCTCTAACCGCTAGACTGTACTTCCTCTGGATCCTGTAACAATGTATTGGACCAACCTTGGCTTGCTGGAGGCTGCCCAAAAAGCTGCGGCGTTCTCGTGGTAGCAGAGAAATGTTTCCAGGCCGTAGGTGCTGGCTGTGCTGCCTCCCCCCCCCCCCCTACCCCGTTGAGCAGGCTGCTTCTGCAACACTCCTCTGCCCCGGGGGTGCGGCCCAGGCACAGATCTCGTCCTTGAGCAGGCACAAGCGTTGCCCTGTCATGTGGCCAAGATGCATGTGCATTCTCGGGGCCACCCCACTCTCCCGTCGGGTGACTGTGTCCCCTTCTGCTCCCTAAGTAACCTGGGCACTCCCTTCCTTCCCAGGCGGATCCGGGCTGGGACTGAGCTCACCTGGGATTATAACTACGAGGTGGGCAGCGTGGAGGGCATGGAGCTGCTGTGCTGCTGTGG